GGAAGGGTCCCTTTGTTTTAAGATACTTATTTCGTTCAAAATTCATGTTCTATATTAAATTTTAACGATCAAACTATTAAATTTAAAGTTCTTATGCATAATCAAGTTTATAAATTTTTTAAAAATTTAAAAATTATTTGATACTTCATTTCATCAATTCAAATTGATGAATATTTAAAATTTTTATGGTTACTAAAAACCTCAAATCTCGAACCGTAAAGATAATGTTTCAATAACTTAAGAATAAAGACTACGACTGTTAACTCTAAGTCATGGGTAAGGTAGTTCTATTCATGAGTTTTCAATTGTCTAGATGCATAAGATACTACCTTACCTTTTTGCACGGGCACCCCTCTTAACCCTATCTTAGAAGCATCAAAGTATACTACAAAGATTTCATTAGGATCAAGTAACACTAAGATAGGTGCACTAGTTAACCTTCTCTTAAGCTCTTGGAAGCCTCCTCACACCTAGAATCCCTCGTGAAAGGTTGATTTTTCCTAATCAACTTGGTCAAAGGTAAAGTTAGTATAGAAAAACTCTCTATAAATCTCCTATAATAACTGGAAAAATCCAAGAAACTTCTAATCTCAAAAACAAACTTAGGCACCTTCCACTCAAGCACGACTTTTACCTTAGGAGGATCTACGACTATATCCCTTTTAGAAATGACACGTCCCAGGAAATTAATCTTACTCAACCTAAACTTACACTTAGATAGTTTAGCAAAAGAGTTGTCTATCTTTAAGGGTTTGTAGTACTATTCTAAGGTGTTCAGAATGTTCCTCTCTAGTCTTAGAATACACAAGGATATCATCTATGAAAATTACTACAAATCTATCAAGGTAGGAATGAAAAATCCTATTCATGTAATCCATAAAGATAATAAGTCCATTAGTCACCCCAAAAGGCATAACTAAATACTCAGTGCTCATAGCGAGTCCTAAAAATAGTCTTTGGAACATCCTTAAACCTCACCTGGATTTGGTGGTATTCTGATCTTAGATCTATCTTACTAAAGACACATGCTCTTACTAACTAATCCATAAGGTCATCTATCATAGACAAGAGATACTTATTCTTAATGGTTACCTTATTTAGTTGGTGGTAGTCCACACACAATCTCATGCTCCCATCTTTCTTTTTCATTAACAACACGGGTGCTCCCCAAGGTAATACACTAGGTCTAATGAATTGCTTCTTTATTAATTTCTCTAATTGCTTCTTAAGTTTAGCTAACTCCTTAGGGGACATCCTACAAGGTGTTACGAATATAGGGGTAGTACCAAGTACTAAATCTATGGCAAACTTAACCTCTCTCTAAGGTGGTAAGCTAGTTACATCTACTGAAAATACTTTAGGAAACTCTCTCACCAAAAGGAATCTCACTTAATTCATTTTCTCTCTTGAGCTTTAAACAGCCAAACATCATATATACCTTTTCATTTTCTTTTTATAAGGAGTTAATTTGGTTGGCATAAACAAAATATGTACTCTTACTCTCACCAAAAGAAATTGTTTTATCAAAGCAGTTCAACAAGACATGGTTGGAAGATAAATAATTCATTCCAAGGATCACATCTAGTTTACTAAGAGGTAAATAAATTAAGTAAACTTTAAACTACCTATCAGAAATAGAAATAGGACATTTTAGACAAACACTAGATGTGGTTATGGGACTATTTGTAGGGGTTTTTATGACTAGATAATACTTTAAGATAAACATAGGCAATTCCAAAGTGTTGACACAAGTATGGGAGATAAATGAATGAGTTGCACTATAATCAAATAGTACAAGGGTTTTCAATGATGAAACAAGTACCTTATATTAGATTCTCAAATTAAGTGGCTTTAGCACCACTAAGAGCGAAGACTCTCCTAGTAACTTTCGGTCTCTCAGGCTGGGAACTTGCTCCAACAAGTTGATTCTTTTTGGGATGAGGGCACTGTGTGCTGATGTGTCCAAATCCTTGGCAGTTGAAACATGTCACTTCCTTATCTAGGCATTTAGTGAAGTCATGTCCTTGTTGTCCAAACTTCTTACATCGTTGTGGAAGAGCAAAAGTAGGTCCTCCAATATTAGTAGTCCTTTCTCCAACTGAAGACCCCACAACTGACTTACTCCCACTATCAAAAAAAGTTGTAACAAATGTCTTGTTCGCACTCCATCTAGATCTCCCACCTCGAAATCTTCCAAGAGTAAAATACGACCCACTCGTAGTTTGTCCTCCAATCCTCACGCCTCTATTGGGACCCACACTTTTGTAGTATGCAACGCGTGGCCAGTTGTCATAGTCATAAATCCAACGCTTGTTCGCCAAAGTTGGGTAGTCGTAGATCTCTTGGTAGTTGATAGCTATTTTCATTTCAAGGCGAAGACCGTTCATGAATTTTATGCATTTAGCTCGTTCACCGCTCTCACTGTGGTAGTGTGCACAACATCGAACCAAGTTATAAAACTTGGTAGCACACTCTGCCACTATGCCATCTCCATGCTACAAAACTTCTCTCATCGTTGGGAAAATATTTCCTCAAGAAGACCAGTTTGAAGTTATCCTAATTCAAATGAGTACCAGTAGCCATCATGTGTTGCAAGGCACCCTCCCACCAATAGTAAGCATCCTTTGATAGCATGAAGGTTGCAAGGTTAAGCTTCTATCTAGAGGGCACTCCATCGCACGAAAAATTTTCTCAACCTCAGTTAGCCACTTCATGGCCACGTCAAGATTGTAAGCTCCTTCAAACGTGGGTCGGTTATGATGCTAAAATCGTTCTAGCCAACTCGGTGCAATGTCAACCCTGTCAACTCCTACAGTTTGTGCTAATGCTTGAAGAACATCGACGACAACGAAATCGTTCCTACTAGCCATTAATCTAATACCCAAAACACTACTTCTAATAACAAGAGCACTACAATTATCATTCAACAAGGTATACAAGGATTTGCAGTTATATCACACAACAAAATACCATGAACCAAAGCACATACAGAAACATAGTAAAGGAACATAACACAGAAGTCTAGTTTGAATCAATCTAGCTTTGATATCACTAAATGTAACACCCTTTACCCCACATGCATAATTAAATAAATATAATGATTATAAAAAGGAAATGTTACTAGAATAACTTCAACTGAAGGTAAAGAGTAGCACCTTTGAAATTAAATTAAAATTAAACTAACACCTAACTATTACAAACTTAAAGAAGATATGTTTTAACGAGAAGTAAACTATAATTTTTAAAACATAAAGCATGAAACATAATCTAGGATCCTCGATATCATAGATACTAGAGTTATTCCTTTAATCAACTAGACTCCTCCAAATAGGAAGCCTCTTACAATCACATATAAATCATCCACAAGGAAAATAGGGGAGTAAGAACATATCTCATCTGACTACTAGTGTAGAATAAGGTTGGATAGTCACACACAAACATTATATAAAATCACTAATTAAACTTCTCATCAATCTACACAATAATTTCAACTTAGTTTATATCACATTCCATCATGACATCAATCAAAACACAATTCAAATACTAGCAAAAATATTATGATCATACATAGACTAGACTCTCTTAAACTATATGTATATGGCATGAGTAAAAACATTTTTCCCTACCCAAAGGCTAAGTAGTTGAGGAGTACATGTTGGGTCAAGCTATCACAGTACTCTCACTAGAATAATATACTACTAGGATCTCGTTGGTATAACTGAGTCGCGCAAGATATGCCCCATGCACAAAATGGGTGAGATTAGGGCTTCCTAAACCAAGTTATCCCCAAGGACTAATCTCCAAGCTTTTACACAAGGGGGTCTTCCCTAGCGATGTATTCCGCATCATACCCATCACAAAAACACAAAAGCATATGATGCATGACATTCAAGACTCAATGCATTTATCACACATAATCACTTATCACTTATAATTCATACACATCATGTTTTGTCATTGATCACTTTATCACTCCAGAATTCATCACTTATCATAATCAGTTATGTACACAAATCCCTCGCACATACACACATAAGAACTAAGTTTAGACACAAGGTGGCACCCGACAGGACATGCCCTACACTTGGCACGTACGAGGTCACGAACCTTTGGAAGTTTGGCGTGATCCTCCCCACGCTCTTCCCCGCACTTGGCGAGATGCATATGGAGGACATCTAGCGATCGCCGTGACT